CGTCGGGGACACGTACGGGACACGGCATCTGGCGTGTCCCCTTAATTTAATTTATTTTTTTGCAGGGGACACGCGTGTCCAAATCTGGACACGCCATGGACACGGCGAGAAGAGTAACTGAAAGGGGGAAAACGAGAACAAACCTGGTCGACGACGATCTAGAGCCCTTCGACTTCGATCGACGATCCAGAGCCCCATTCTACTTCGACGATCCAGCACAACTCTGCGTCCAAGCTAGTGGCTTTCTCCAGCCTCTCATGGTAGCCATGTACCGAAGTTCCTCTCTCATCTCAAATTAGGCCTGCATAACCAGCTGGTTCAGGGTTACCTTTTGAGTACCAATCAATGTTGAGTTTGATTGTATCTGCAAAAGGCAAAGCCCAATTAGTTGCGTGGTGTAGAAGTTGACCAGTAATGGATTAGATTGGAATGCTGCATAAGTTTTAGTGGCTTGGAATGTGATCATAAGAGTAAAATTGATAATGAGTCTCATGGTTAAACTTTATCGGATATGTATTATAGAATTATTGTAATATATTTGATTATAATGATAAAAAAAAATATAATTTTTGTTGCTGGCCAAGGATAGAAGATAATCAAAATTTAAAATTGTTTATTCGATGAGTGTAAAATTATCTATTCCATTAATATTCTGTAGCGGAATTGATTTTATATAATAATTCCATCAAACCAAGTACACATAGGTTTGTAAAGTTGACAAAACCTGACATATTTGTGGCCATTTGTGGTTCACGACCCAATCTTCTCAAATAAATATTAAAAAAAAAAAGAAGAAAAGAAGAAAAGACAATTTGGCACTTTTAAAAAGTATATTTTTTTGTGAGTGGTTATTTCACGATTTTTGAGCAATATTTTATATTATTCATCATGTGATTTTTGTTATATTTCCTCCTGCATAGAAGCGCTGAATTTCATTATTTCAACTAACAAAATTAAGTTGTAATACTGCATATATTTGTTCCAAAAATATTAACAACATGTTTAGTGTAATTTATTGAAATTGTTTATAATTTATTTATTTATTTATTAGATTGGAAGTCTGGTTGATAGAACTTCAGTTCATAATTTACTAGAATTTTAATTTGATAAATCTTATACTAAATTAAGGTCTTGTTTGGGAATTAATTTTTTTAAATAGTTTTTTAAAACTTTTCTATGAAGTGAAATTTTTTTTAATATGTTTGAAAATAACTTTTTTTTAATTGCATTAAAATTCATAAAATAAACCGGCTCCAGGTCGGCCGATTCGACCGCCGGTTTCTCCGATTCTCTCTAAATAGACCGGTTTTTAGTTTTCACTTGTTCAGACGGTATATCCAGACCGGAATCTTGACCGGTCGACGGTTTAACCGGTCGAACCGGCCGGTTCGATCCGGTTTTCAAAACCTTGTTTTAGGCTTTAATGTTTGGGGATTTGGTCAAAATTTTCTCATAATAAAATTTAATATATTAAGGACAAGTGTAAAAAA